CTCTCATGGAAACCTTTTCAAATAAGCTCCTGAGTCATTTTGACCCAATCATGGTAGTCCGTGATGATTATCTTGCTTTTTGGTATGAAAAAATGGTCCAAGGCCATGTACATTTGCTTCCCCAGGTGTAAACTCGACCATTGCTCTAAGACAGGGGTCAGCAAAACTTTTTGGTAAAGGGCCAAGTATTTTAGGTTTTGTGGGCCAGAGTCTGTTTGCCATTGTAGCATAAAACAGCCATAGACAATACTGTACATGAGTGAGTGTGGTTGTGTTTAAAAACTTTATTTACGATCATTGAAAGTGAATTTCATTTAATCTTCATGCATCATAAAATATTATATATATATATTTTTTACTCTCTTAAAAATGTAAAAACCATACCTAGCTTACAGGCTGTACAACAGTGAGCTGCAGGGTAGTTTAGCAGTTTAGGTAGTGCTCGGGGGAGCACTGGTTCCTTTTAATGGGAAGTGATGAGACAACAGAACAGTCTGCGCATTAGGGGCTCTCATTACTTATGGTCATTGTTTCTAGACCTTTTCAGTGCACACTGCTAGGAAACAGACATTTATTTATTTTTGAGAATGGGTCTCACTCCATCATCCGGGCTGGAATGCAGTGGCACGATCAAAGCTCATTGCAGCCTTGAACACTTGGGCTTAAATGATCCTCCCGCCTCATCTTCCTGAATAGCTGACACTACAGGTGTGGTAGTGTACACCTGTAGTGTCAGCTATTCAGGAGGATGATCCTCCCGCCTCATCCTCCTGAATAGCTGACACTACAGGTGTACACTACCACACCTGGCTAATTTAAAAATTTTTTGTAGGGACAGGGTTTTTTTTTTTTTTTTTTTTTTGAGACAGAGTCTCGCTTTTGTTGCCCGGGCTAGAGTGCCGTGGCGTCATCCTAGCTCACAGCAACCTCAAACTCCTGGGCTCAAGCAATCCTTCTGCCTCAGCCTCCCGAGTAGCTGGGACTACAGGCATGTGCCACCATGCCCGGCTAATTTTTTCTGTATATTTTTAGTTGTCCAATTAATTTCTTTCTATTTTTAGTAGAGACGGGGTCTCGCTCTTGCTCAGGCTGGTTTCGAACTCCTGAGCTCAAACAATCCGCCTGCCTTGGCCTCCCAGAGAGCTAGGATTACAGGCGTGAGCCACCGCGCCCGGCCGGGACAGGGTCTTGATACATTGCTCGGGCTGGTCTTCAACTCCTGGTCTCAGGCAGTCCTCTTGCCTCAGCCTCCCAAGTGTTGGAATTACAGGCATGAGTCACTGCACCCGGCCAATAGACATTTATTTTAAAGAAAAAGATATTTTCATGAGTTACACTGATATTTCCAATTCACATTTAAGGCTATAGGATTTACTGAACTTACTTGATGTTCAATTTGTAATTGAAGACTTTCTGTTGTTGGACACTGGTCCTACACCTAGCTGAGTTCAGGAAATGGTGTGTGTGTGTCTCCTACACTGGGAGAGCCTGGGCCTGTGTTGAATCCAAATGTAGGCTGCTGTCATGTCAGTTCCCTGACAAGAAGTAAAGGTGCCACTTAGCTTTCTAGTCAGCCTTGAGCTCCCTGCAGGGGAGATGGGCGGGACTAATGGAGTCTGCTGTGAACTTGGGCTTCTCTGGGTCACTATATCCAGGCACTGTGCCCTGGGAGTGCCAAGGCCCCATGCAGTAGCACCACTTCTCTGGGGTATTGTCCTTAACCACTCAGAATTTATCTTATTGGAGAACCTGACTTCCTGCTATGAGGTGCCTTGTGTCCTTGACCTCAAGATGGGCACACGTCAACATGGTGACGATGCTTCAGAGGAGAAGGCAGCCAACCAGATCCGAAAATGTCAGCAGAGCACATCTGCAGTCATTGGCGTGCGTGTATGTGGTATGCAGGTGAGGAGTGTTCTAGTACTTGGCAAGAGCTGGCTAGGGCATCCATTGTCTGCACTTCCCTGCCTTGGCAAAGTTTTATTTGCTCAAAAGATTCCAGGTTTGACCCTACATGAGTCTGTTGCTTTCTGGTTACAAAGATGGCATGCATGCCTAAGCGATCCCCTCTGAGGTTAGCCTGGGTGGCTGAGTTCAGAGACTGTGGACAGGAGTAGGGAGGAAGGCAAGAGGGTTAGGCCCTCTTCACTGACCCAGATGCTGAGCAGGGGCTGGGGCACAGTGACCAAACCCAGGCTGGATGGCTGCATCCCAGGTAGGGGCTGAACAGAGAGCACAGCAGCTCATTTATGCCTGGTGTACTTGATAAGTTAAAGGATCTGATCTAGGCTGTCACATTGTACCATCCCCTGGGTCCAGGCTTTGAGATGGCCCTTAGCTCCTGACTTGCTGGTCTCTCTCCCACAGGTGTACCAGGCAGGCAGTGGACAGCTAATGTTCATGAACAAGTACCATGGGCGGAAGCTGTCGGTGCAGGGCTTTAAGGAGGCACTTTTCCAGTTTTTCCACAATGGGCGGTACCTGCGCCGTGAACTCCTAAGCCCTGTGCTCAAGAAGCTGGCTGAGCTGAAGGCAGTGTTAGAGCGACAGGAGTCCTACCGCTTCTACTCAAGCTCCCTGCTGGTCATCTATGATGGCAAGGAGCGGCCCGAAGTGGCCCTGGACTCAGATGCTGAGGACTTGGAGGACCTGTCAGAGGAGTCAGCGGATGAGTCTGCTGGTGCCTATGCCTACAAGCCTGTTGGCGCCAGCTCGGTAGATGTGCGCATGATCGACTTTGCACACACCACCTGCAGGCTGTATGGCGAGGACACCGTGGTGCACGAGGGCCAGGATGCTGGCTATATCTTTGGGCTTCAGAGCCTGATAGACATTGTCACAGAGATAAGTGAGGAGAGTGGGGAATGAGCTTGCTGGCTGCTCCAGTACCTGAGAGACTCTCTGTGTCCCAGGCACAGCTGTGCTGTGTCAGGGAGGAGGCCAGTATGGCCAGGTGGTGGCCCCTGCAGCCTGGAGCTGATGTGTAGTGGCCTATGTGAGCCCCAGCCTGAGCCAGCCCCAGCTGCGCTTGGAGTCTTTATTTATTTTAACTATTTCTTCAACATTCCACGTTTGATGATGCAAATACCTCTTTCTTCCCCGAGTGTATACGTTCTAATACAAATCTTTTTGTTTATTGTACACAGTGCTGATGTCATTCTTTCCAGGGGCAGGCAGCCCCCCTCCCAACCCACAGAAGCCTCACTACATGCTGTGACCTCCTCTCTGGCTCAGCAATATTCTCCTGGCCACTGCTCCCACCCCATGGATCAATCCTAAAATCACCATAGCCTCTTAGCTTGGTCCTCAGTCCCCCAACCTAGCACCCTGAGATCACCCAAAAAGGACCCCCCGACACACACACGTACCTTAGCCTGGTCGTCTGGGGTCTGTACTGGCCAAGGTCTTTCTATGGCCCTGTGCAGCCTAAGCCAAAGTTGGGCAGCCAGGTGCTCCAAACTTTGGGTCCAGCTTTGGATACCTCTTGTGCCCCAGCAGCAGCTAGTTCGCTGGACATCGTGATGTCAGATATCCTGGGGCCAATACTAGGGTCTCATGTAGCTGCTAGGCTCAGGTCCATTGGCAGCCCGGGGCTCTGTGGTAAAGGGGCCCAGGTGGTAGAGGGCTCAATAAGGAATGTTCTGGTAGGGCAGTCCTCTTAGACACCTCAGAACACCACCTGTCACCACTCCTACCTGGCCCTGGGCCACACTACAATTATAGTCATCCTTCATGGAGTCCCCAGCCAACGCATCCCCTGAGAGCTACTATTGCTATGTGCCAGGACGTCTTTTGGGAGGGAAGAGGGTCTAAGGGAGGTCTTGAACTGCAGAGCCAGACCTGGTACAGAGAAGGCAGGGTCTGGATGTCAGATTCTAGCAGCTTTGCCCCTCATCTGAACCTCCTGGTACCTACCTCCTCCCCAAGGCCCACTGAGGCCTATGTACTCTGCCTAAAAACATAGGTCAACTACACACACTGGCCTAGTTGTGCCCATACCCCTGCTTCCTGGGCTCAGGCTTCCTGAGGAGAGTGTGTGGCCGGACCAGCCCCCCGCCATCCTCTCCCCCAGAGCCTCTTCACTGGGTTCCACAGGCACTCATACATACTACAAGGATGTCAAAACCTGGAGGTCTGGGCTGACTGGAAAGTCGGGTGAGTCAAACACACTTAAGGCCACTTGGTAACTTACTTCCTACCCTCTGCCAGCCCTCCTGTAGGCTCTCAGAAGGGACGCCAGAAATAATCTAGAGTTTAAGGTCCTATAAAGACAATAAAACAGAGCAAGATGATAGCGATTGATAGAGGTGGGAGTTTGACAACGTTATGCTGTGAGAGAGTGAGGGGAAGACTGTCCCAGATAAAGGGAACAGAATATGCAAAGACCCAAGACACAGAGGAAAACAGAAAAGAAGCCAAGGCTGAAGAGTGAGGAGTGGGGGTGGGGAGCAAATATGGGAGTACTCTGGACAAGGAATAGCCCGGCCTGGTTTCTGTTCTTAACTGCACCACCTTCTTTCCCTGACCCTGCCCCATCACACACACGCTTGCTCCACATTGGCTACCACCGGCACAGTACCGGGGCAGGGACTTAACGAAGAGGTGTCGTGAAACCTACACACGCCAAGGAGACCTGGCCTCTGCTGGGGCTTCCAAGTGTTGGACCAGCGGGATCCAACAATGAGAGCGGCATCCCGGGTCGCCGTCCTTATTGTTAGTAGGCCGGAACCCACTCCCCAGGGGCGTCGGGGGCGCACGGGCTACGACTGGAGCGCGCGTTCCCCTGGAGGTAGGACAGGCCGCAGCTCTCAAACTTGAGCGAGGAAAGGGCTGGGCGGGGAAAGCCGAGGCTGGGGTAAGGAGCCCAGAGTCGCAGAGTTCCGGGCCAGAGGGGGCGGCTGGCCCTGCAGGCCCGCCCCCCCGTCTCTCAGGGCTGCGTGGGTGCGCAGCGCGCCCCATGCGTGGGCCGACACACTCCGGGGCGGGGCTTCAGCGGGCGTGCGTGCGCACGCGTGGTGTGTCACGGGGCGGGGCGAGGGCTGCGCGGAGTTCGCGGCCTGGCGTTCTGGCTCCGCAGCCCCCTGCCGCCTACCCTGCACCGGCCCGGCCTGGCCCGTCCCCATGTACCGCGCGCTGTACGCGTTCCGCTCGGCGGAGCCCAACGCGCTGGCGTTCGCCGCGGGCGAGACCTTCCTGGTGCTGGAGCGCAGCAGCGCGCATTGGTGGCTGGCGGCGCGGGCGCGCAGTGGTGAGACCGGCTACGTGCCGCCCGCCTACCTGCGCCGCCTGCAGGTGAGTGTGTCCCTCTCGGCCCGGCCTCCGCGGCCCCTGGCGGTGGACCCCTTCACAAGCCGGCAGAACTAGCCTAAGGACCCGAGACTCCCCGGGACCCGAGGCCAGGACCTCTAGCAGACAGGGAGTTTGAGAACCTGACCCTGAGACCCTAGGCCCATAGGGACTGAGACCCCAAGAGCCAGCATCCCGCAAAAAAGACCATGCCCTTGACAGCCTACCCAGATCTACGAAAAGCCTAACTCTAGAAGTAGGACTCCTTGGGACCCCAGACTATTCAGTATTAAAACCTCCATCTGAATAGAATTTAAGAGCACCCTGAGGCTCCAGCCCTAAATTCTGGCCAGTCACCCAAATCCTTGAGACCCCTTAACATGCCCCTTCCCTAGATCCCTAATATTCCACATTCTCGCCTCTCCCTCAGGCCCCCAGTTGGAGCCACCGCCTCCACCACTGAAACCCGGGCCACCTTGGACACCACCTGTTTCCCCAAACATCCTCCAGGTCCTCAACCCCCCACTTGGACCCTGCAGCCATAAATACCGCCATCCCTAGGTGACACCCAAGCCCTGGGACCTTAGTGTCATTCACTGTCCTGTACTCATCCACCCTCTAAGCTCTTCCGAAGACTCCCCCAACCCTATTTGAACCAAGGACCCCAGCTCCTGCTGACACTCCCTGGCACTGCTCCCTTTACTCCCCAGGCCTCAGGTCCTGACTTTTCAGACTTCCTTCCTCTTACTTCCTTTGAAAGTGGGGGAGCTCCATCCCTCCTTGTCCTGAGCCTGGAGTGGGGGCTGCTTCCATTGTGAGGAAGTTAGTCCTCCTCATGGCTTCCCCTGGTCTGACCATGGCCCCATTTCCTTCTAGAGAAGGCTGCAGTCCCAGTTCCTGTTTCCCTGAGAGTAGCCCTGCTGCAGGGGCTGGGGCGTGGTGTCTCCAGCTGATCTATTCTGACCATAGCAGGAAGGAGGGCCCAGAGCCGCCTGGCCTGTGCCTGACACCCCCACCCCATCCTAGTCCCCAGCTTTTAGAAACATCCTGTTCCAGCCTGGTTCAGGACAGAAATAACAGGATAAATTTGGACATGTCATCTGGTCTTAGCAAAGGGAATGGGCCCTGAGCCCTAGGGGCTTCCTCACTGACTCTCAGCCTGATTCCATCTAGGAGTGCCTAGGGTAAGAGTGGGGGGCCCTGGACACCAGGCTGCTGGGTCTGGAGTGATGTGTCAGACCCAGCCTCTTTGGGAATGGGGTCTCATTGAAGGCCTGGGGAAAGTCCTATCTCTTCCCCTACTGGGCATAGGTCACAGGCCTGAGTCCCCTGCCCCAGCCAGGACCAGCGGGGCAGGGTGTTTGGGGAGGCCAGAGAGGCTACCATCTTCTGTGTCACTGTCTCTCAGTTTCTTTCTGCGTATCTCACTCGGTTTCCCTGACTGCGTTTCTCTGTCTGTGTTGTTCCGAGTCTCCACCTGTGTGTGTTTTCTTTCTTCTTCCGACTCTCTCCCACTCTGAGGCTGAGGCTTTCGGTTTCTCTCTACGTTGTCTCCCTCTGCCTGCCTCCCCATTCCTCTCTGAGCTCCTCTCTCCATGTCTTTCTTATTCTGTGTGTGTGTGGTTCTCTTTCTGTCTTCCTCTCTGTTTCTGTCTTCCTGCACTCTGGCACACCCCATACCACCTGGAGGGCTTTGCTGACCTCTGCGCCCACCTCTGTATCCCTCTCAAACTCAATCCGGAGTGAGTTCACCTCAGCTCTGAGGCTCCTGTGTCACCTGATGGACCATGTGTGCCAGGGGAAGGGTGACGTGGCTCGTCCCACTGCTGCTACCCCACACCCCCATCCCATGCCAGCCAGGCAGGTAGACTGGACCCTGGGTTGCTGGGCATGGCACCCAGAGCCTGGAGTAGGGGCCAGGCCCCTCTCTCGTGTCCATCCTTAAAACATAGAACTGCTTCCCAGGGCAGGTCTGGGAGCTTACCGAGACACCTTGAAGGCATGAGGGCTGGCAGCAGGGATGGGGAGGGGAGGTCCCTTTGGCCCATTTTTGCCTCCCAGGGTCTGCAGAGGACAGGGCTGTTCTGGAGTATGACCTTGGTTTTGTGAAGGATCAGCAAGATCCAGAGTCATTTATTAAGGATTCCAGACGCTGGAGGCGTCCTGCTTGGCATGTCAACCTGGGCTTTGAGCCAAGACTAGGGATAGACTAAGTGTGTGCTTCTGGCCACAAGCTGGGGGTCCCTTGGCTTTGTTTTGTTTTTGTCCCCTGGCTTTCAGAAACATCTTAGCCAAGAGCCTCCCTGTGGGGTAAAATCCCGAGTGGGGTCTCAAATATGTAAAGTGGCAGCATGGGGGCCACCCTGTGCCTTAGCTCCCTGAGTGATGCAGCTTGAGAACCCCATTCCGTATTGTAGTTCAACTTTCTGTGCTCGTGTCTAGCATTCCAGGCTTTAGCTGTAGTAGTCCTTTGCCCTCGGTTCCATCTGGGCTGGGCTAGATCTGGGCTGAGCACCTCCACTTGGCCCCCAGGTCTAACTCTGCCCCCTCCCCCTCTCCAGGGCCTGGAACAGGATGTCCTCCAGGCCATTGACCGGGCCATTGAGGCTGTGCACAACACAGCTATGCAGGATGGTGGCAAGTACAGCCTGGAACAGCGAGGAGTTCTCCAGTAAGTGCAGTGGGAGGTGGAGTGGCACCTCCCAGTGAGCATGGTGGAGTGGGGTCCTTCAGTGAGTGCTAGAGATGTGGGGAGCGGATGGGGGAGATGGGGATGTGAGGGGTCTATGGGGCTGTGGGGTCCCAGCATCCCACAGGGAGCATATGAGGACTTTGGGAACTGTGAAGTACACTCCCCAATGGTTTCCCTGTCCCTCCATCAGGAAGTTAATCCACCACCGGAAAGAGACCCTGTCTCGCAGAGGCCCCTCAGCCTCCAGTGCTGCAGCAATGACCCCATCCACCAGTGACCACCATCTGGATGCTGCTGCTGCCAGGCAGCCCAATGGAGTGTGTCGAGCTGGGTTCGAGCGGCAGCACAGCCTGCCCAGTTCTGAGCATCTTGGTGCAGATGGAAGCCTCTACCAGGTACATGGTGAGGGCATCCTGGAGAAGGGAGATGGGTAGGGCTTAAAGGCTTCGTCCAGGCCAGGCACTGGGGCTCACGCCTATAGTCCTAGCACTTTGGAAAAGTGAGGCAAGAGGATTCGTTGAGCCCAGGAGTTTGAGACCATTCTGAGCAATATAGCGAGACCCTGTCTGTACAAAAAATAGAAAAATTAGCTGGGTGTGGTGGTGCATAATTGTAGTCCCAGCTACTTGGGAGGCTGAGGCAGGAAAATCGCTTGAGCCCAGGAGTCTGAGGTTGCAGTGGCTATGATGACTCTACTGCACTCTAGCCTAGGCGACAGAGGGAGACCCTGACTCCAAAAAAAAAAAAAAACCTTCATCCAGAGGTTCAAGGAGTCCATATGGGGTGGCAGCCTATCCTCCCAGATCCCCAGATCCTACTTCTATCTTCCCAGATCCCACCACAGCCTCGCCGGGCAGCACCTGCCACACCTCCCCCACCTGTGAAACGCAGAGACCGAGAGGCCCTGGTGGCCTCGGGGAGCGGTAAGAAGGCAGGGTTGAGGGAATTGAGGTGAGGGTGCCCTGTGATTGGAATGGGTGCCCTGCCCGTATCAGGGAATTGGAGGCTTGGGGAGAAGACAGGGTCCCCATGTTGGGGCAATTGGGGGCTCTGGGCGTAGTGGGAGACAGAGCCTAGCAGAGGAACTGGGCCCTGTACTGGGGGACAGGGGCCCTGGGCTGGGAGGGGTAGGGGCTTCCAGAGGCTGCCCCAGCACAGCATCCACTCTTTGCTCACAGGTGGCCGCAACACCATGCCTTCTGGGGGTAGTTCCATGTCCAGCGGCTCTTCAGTCAGCAGCACCTCCCTGGACACGCTCTATACCAACTCCAGCCCATCTGAGCTGGGCTCCAGCTGCTCACCCACACCCCCACCTGTGCCCCGCCGGAGCACCCACACCACTGTGTCCCAAGCCCAGCCCCCTCCCTCCAAGGAACCAGCCCCTGAACCCTCTGCAGAGGAAGTGGCAGTTGGCACAACCTCAGCCACTGATGACCTAGAGGCCCTGGATACACTGAGCCTGGGGACAACAGAGGAAAAGGCAGTGGCTGAGACAGCTGTGCCAAGGACCATTGGGGCAGAGCTGATGGAGCTTGTGCGGAGAAACACCGGCCTGAGCCATGAATTATGCCGTGTGGCCATTGGCATCGTGGTGGGTCACATCCAGGCCTCTGTGCCAGCCAGTGCACCTGTCATGGAGCAGGTCCTCCTCTCACTGGTGGAGGGCAAGGTGAGGTGGGCAGCACAGCCAGGAGCCTCCCTACCCTCAGGCCACCCTGCTAACCCCACCCTGTTCCCATCCTCACACATTTGTCCAGTCTGTACGTGACAGGTATTTGTCAAGCTCTGGGCTTTCATTGTGCCGGGTGTTGGGGACATTTGAGCTGATCGCTGCAGGAGGAAGGGAGGAATAGCATTCCAGGCAGAGGCGCAGCCTGGACAAGGACAGTGAGGCAGGGCTGAGCTTGGCTCCTGGGGTGAAGCAGAGCAAGGCCAGCATGGCTGGAATACAGGGAGCGAGGGCAAGTGGTGCGGGAGGAGGTGAGACCTGGGGCAGGTAATGGATGAGACCAGATGTGGGTGGCCAAGAGTTCTGTCTGGCTGCAGAGAAGCAATAGACACAGGGCATGGGTAAGGGCAGTGCCCTACTGGCCTTGGCAGTGGAGAGGCATGGGTGCTTGGAGAGCTATGATGGAGGCCTAAAGGCTGACCTGGATAAGAGGAAGTGAGGTGTGTAGGCGTCATGGGATGGGTGGGGTCCTTTTGCCAAGGTTGGGGCAGCGCTGGTCAGGAGCAGGATTGGGAGGGCAGTGAGCCTGTCTACACGATGGGGACCAGATTGACCAAAGGTCCCTCCCTAGGGCTCCATGGTCCCTCTTACAATTCTGGTGGGGTGTGGGGGAATGACAGTGGGTTAATGGGCTTGTCTGTGCTGGGCATGACAGCAGTGCCTGGTCAACAGGGTTTGAAGAATATGTGGGAGGTGGGTAGATGACAGGCCTGCAGCTACTTTGTGTGGAATGGGAGGGTAAGGTCTGAGAATCATATTCAGGCAGTGACAGAGTTCATGTTTTCATGGGGCAGTTTGTCCAGATCTAGGATGATAGGAAAGTTGTTAGAAAAGCCCCCACAGACATGTGTCATGCAGAATCCTGTCCCAGGAGGTCATCAAGACTGGGGTTGAGTCCCCTCCCCTGTGTGGGCCATGTAGGACTTGAGTGGGACTCTCCAGGCTTGGGGACTTCCTGGAGATGGTGAAGGCAGGAAGTGTGCTGAGCTGTGCCTCGCCTCTCCCCCCAGGACCTGAGCACAGCCCTGCCCTCAGGGCAGGTCTGCCATGACCAGCAGAGGCTGGAGGTGATCTTTGCAGACCTGGCTCGGCACAAGGACGATGCCCAGCAGCGCAGCTGGGCCCTGTATGAGGACGAGGGTGTCATCCGCTGCTACCTGGAGGAGCTGCTGCATATTCTGGTGCGTGGTGGGGGGCCCATATGCATCCCCCAACGTGTAGAACAGTGACCCCCCCACGTTGTACCTTCCCCCCTTGATGCTTAGGAGTCTCCTCTGCACACATGCACTCAACTCTCTCCCATGTGGCCACACAGCTCGCCTCACATGGGTGACTCTCACATTTCTTCCTCCCTACAGACTGATGCAGACCCTGAAGTTTGCAAGAAAATGTGCAAGAGAAATGAGTTCGAGTCTGTCCTGGCCTTGGTGGCCTATTACCAAATGGTGTGTGCAAGACAGAGGGGAGTGGGCACAGAGGGACAGGGTAGGGGTGGGGATTCTGGGCACTGAGCACGCAGGGTCCCCTGCCAGGAGCACCGAGCATCGCTGCGGCTGCTGCTCCTCAAGTGCTTCGGTGCCATGTGCAGCCTGGATGCAGCCATCATCTCCACACTTGTGTCATCTGTGCTGCCGGTAGAGCTGGCACGGGACATGCAGACGGACACACAGGGTGAGGCCGGGGGGAGCCGGGTGGTGGAGATTCCTGCCATCTGGAGGGGGTTCCCGCCATCTGCTGGGGTTTCCTGCTATCTTCAGGGGCTCTGACTGCCTGCCTTGTCCCCCCAGACCACCAGAAACTCTGTTACTCTGCCCTTGTCCTGGCCATGGTCTTCTCCATGGGGGAGGCAGTGCCCTACGCACACTACGGTAAGAATGCATCTCATGGCCCAGCAGACCACGGGTCCTGGAGCCAGGGCCTGTGGCCTGGGGACCTGCTGACTGCATAGCCTGTCAGGGACAGGGTGTCCCCAAGGCTCACAGAAAGCCAAGAAGGCCGAGTGATGTTGCAGGGAGGGTACAGGGCTACAGACTTCTGTATGCCCCTCTCCCAGAACACCTGGGCACACCCTTCGCCCAGTTCCTGCTGAGCATCGTTGAGGATGGGCTGCCCTTGGACACCACAGAGCAGCTGCCGGACCTCTGTGTAAACCTGCTTCTGGCTCTCAACCTGCACCTGCCAGGTGGGGTGGGGCCCGGCCGGGAGGTGGCTGACCAAACGGGGCTCTGCAGGCTCAGCACCTTGTCTACACCCATGTCCTTCCTCAGCCCCTGACCAGAATGTCATCATGGCCGCCCTGAGCAAACATACCAATGTCAAGATCTTCTCTGAGAAGCTACTATTGCTCCTGAACAGAGGGGGTGAGGGCACAGGAATCTGCGCGGGTACCACTTCGATGCCCTGTGACTCCATGACCCCCTGCAATGACTCCTGCAACCCCCTGGGGTGACTCTGGGACCCCTGCAAGGACTGCCCTGACCCATGACCCCTGCCTCCTAGATGACCCTGTGCGCATCTTCAAACATGAGCCGCAGCCGCCACACTCTATCCTCAAGTTCCTGCAGGACGTGTTCGGCAGCCCCACCACAGCTGCCATCTTCTACCACACAGACATGATGGCGCTCATTGACATCACTGTGCGGCACATCGCGGACCTGTCCCCTGGAGACAAGGTGCCTGGAGGTGGCTGCAGCAGGGGTGGTCACTGTGTGGAAGCTGAAACAAAATGGATTGACATGACACTGAGTGGAGATGAGGGGACAGGGCCACTGCTGGAACCAGTTAAGTGTAGGAGACCATTGAGAAACCATGGCAGGTGCGCCAAGAGCCGAAGGAGCCAGCCGTGAGGTGATGTGGAGACAGGTGTCTGGAGAAAGCTGGAGGGGAGGGAGTGGTGGAAGATGGGGAAAGAGGGTGGAGTTTGTACGAAGCCTTGGAGGCTGCAGCAGGAGGTTTCGATCCCTTCGCGGAGGGGGCAGTGCTCTGATGAGCATCCGAGGTGGAACTGAGACTGTGCAAGCAGAGTGGAAGCTGGCCAGTGAGGAAGCAACCTCAGAGGGCCGGGTGGCACAGGTGGGACGGGCAGAGGCTGCACAGTGGTGAAAAGAGGCCATCCTCAGAGTGTGCTGGAAGTGGGTCTGGCAGGGCTTGTTGCTGGATTTATCTTTAGCGACAAGGTGGCTAAAGTGCTGATCATTGATGTGGGGACGGCCAGGAGAAGAACTTCTTGGGGAAAAAAATAGAGATGTGTTTTGAATATGTCGAGGTTGAGGTGATATCTGCTAGTCAGCCAGGTACTGGGGGCATCAGGGAGGCAGTGGGGGCGAGTGGGCACTAGAGAGACATTTTGGAGCTGTCTGCGCAGAGATGTGTTGGAGCCTGTGACGGTGTGATTGCCTAGGGAGTGAGATGGATGGACAGGCAGGAAGCTATGGCTTCAGCTCTGGGCACAGCTGGGACAAGCAAGGAGAAACCCAGGAGGAGAAGCAAGAGCAGGAGCCCCAGAGCGGTGTATGTGGAGGAGGAAGGAGATCAGCCGTCTCCACACTGTTAGGAGCCGGAGTAAGACAAGGGCTGAGAACTAGCCACTGGATTTGCCACATGGAGGTCAATGGTGAGTGACAGGCAGTGTCTGTGGGGTGGAGGGAAGAGAGTCTGAATGGAGAGTTTGAGAGAATTTGAAATTATTGGAGAGTGGAAATGAGAGGGGAGTTGGAAGCAGTAAATGGAGACAATGCTCAGGAATTTTCTAGGAACAGGAGCAGAAAAATGGGGAGTCGCTGGAGTGAGACGATGGGGGTCAGGGAGAGCGTTTTAAAGGCGGGAGATGCTGGTGCCCGTGCTGAGCCAGAGGGAATGGTCTAGGAAGCACAGAGAAGTGGATGGTGTGTTAGGGACGGCAGCCACTGCAGGAGTCCAGTAGGCGAGGCCGCAGGGGAGGCTCCAGGCCACCCGGACAGGAGCCGGGCAGTTCATTCAGGTGGGAACAGGTGGGATGTGGGTGCTGAGCAAGGTAGGCAGGTTTCTGAAAGATTGCTTCTATTTTCCCCACGGAACACCAGCCTAGCTGACCAGGCAGCTTAGCTTTGGCAGACAGAGAGGAGGTGGGCAATGGCGCTGTAAAGGAGAGCGGACACAGCAGATAGCAGCAGTGGGAGTCCCTGCGGTGCTACGTGTCCATCCGAGGCTTGCGGTGGGGAATGAAGTTCAGACCTATACGCGGCTCTGTACTTGTCTACTGCCTCAACACTGGCCTGTGATGGCCAGGGCCGGGACTTAGCAGGCTGATGCTGCCTAAAGGTGGTTTCGATATTGATTCCTCTAGTTAAAGGTAAAGAGAGAAATGAGAGACAAAGAAAAAGGGTTGGGGTCAGGTCAGTGGATTGGGGGCCTCATCGAGGATGTGGAAGAGCTTGGCTGTTGAGTCACAGGGGCTGTTGGGACAACTTCAGCCAGAGGTGCTGAAAGTAAGGGTTGGGGGAGGGGGTGTTGGGGGTGGATTCAGGACACGTGTGGAAGGTGAGGCCAGGTGTTGGAGATGGCTTGGATGTGAAGTGTAAGGGAGAGAAGAATCAGAGGAGACCCGCACTTCAGACCTGTGCTTTTGGATTGACAGCGGCATTCTTCACGGAGATAAAGAGTGTGAGAAAGCCTTCAGCTTTGGGAGGGTGGTGCAGGTTGTGAGTTTGACAGTGCAGATATGCAGGTTTGAGACATGCAGGTGATGACAGGCAGTTGGACAGTCTCGCCTTGAACTCACAGGAGAGGTCTAGCCAGAGGTATGAGGGTGGGTCACTATTTGAAGCTGTGGGTATGAACAAGATCTTTCAGGGCGACAGAGGACAGGGTAAGAAGCAGAGGGCTTCTGACAGACAGACAGATGGGCAGGCCACATTTGGGAACTGTCTGTGACTGGGATAAGCCATTCATGCACTGATTTAATCAACAACTATTGAAGACCAGTTCTGTGCCAGGTACATTCTGGGTGCTGAGGTTGCAGCTCTGATGTCCAGGTGGCATGAGCTGATCCACAGCCCTGGGGTCCATGGGTGGTAGTGGCCTATCCCTGTCTGGTGGCAGTTGCAGTGCCTCCCTGGGGTCCCTGAGCTGGCCTCCTCTTCCCACAGCTGCGCATGGAGTACCTCTCCCTGATGCATGCCGTGGTCCGCTCCACGCCCTACCTACAGCACCGCCACCGGCTGCCCGACCTACAGGCCACATTGCGACGCATCCTGGCCGAGGAGGAGGCCTCGCCCCAGTGCCAGATGGACCGCATGATTGTTCGAGAGATGTGCAAGGAATTCCCTGTGCTAGGGGAGGCCCCCAGCTAGCACCTTCCTTTCCTCCCTTCCCTGCAGCCCCAGTCAGGATGCAGGGGACTCAGGGCTTGGCCCTAAGAACGTTTTGCACTGATGGGGGTAAGGTGGAATAAAGGACTTGAGCAGGGCCCCCCACCTTAATTAGACCTTATGTAAGGGGCCAAGTATAGGATTGGGGACCACAGTCTGGGAGCTGTCCTGGGGCAGGGGGAATATGCAAGCTAAAGCCCCTCTATCCCCATATAGACCGCCTCTTCAGCATGCCCCCACTTCACCCCATAGCCACATGCACACTTGGAGTCCTGCTGCTGCTCCAGGCTGGGCCACAGCCCCCATCCCCACCCCACCTGGTCTGTGTCCTGGGCCTCAGCAAGCCATGTCCTTCGGGTGAGGGAGGCATCTCCCACCAGCTCTGTTCTTTGCCTTAGCTTTGCAATGAGTGCTGCTCATGTGCTCCCCCTGCCCCCACGGGGGTCACCGCCCCTCACTCCCAGCCCAGAGGCCTTGGCCAAGCTGCTGCTTTGAAAGCGGGATCTTGGAGACAGGCCATCCATCCTGGAGCCTTACAGAACAGGATGATGGCACTGAGAAAGCCAACGACAGAATCTATTTTCTCTGTAAAAATGTAGACTGAAAAGCCATGTGTATTTTCCTATGTGCTGCAGCTCTCCTTTGGAAATAAATCACAGGCGTCTGGAATCAGGCTTCCCCGAATGATCCTGGGGGTGCTGGGAGAGGATGGACAGGAGTGCTGAGGTCTCAGGACCCCATCGCTGTGGCTTCCACTGACCTCTGCAGCCTGAGGAGGTGATGGGCCCTGACAGGCCTGGCCTTCAAGATCCTTTGAGCCCTGTTCCAGCCTCTCTTCCCTGAGCCCCCACTTCTCCTGGGCCCCAGCCACAGCCCAATGCCCCTCATGGTACACTTGCAGGGGTCTGTACCTCCAGACTTCACTTACATCTTGCTCTTTGCTTTAAATGCCACCCTTCTCCCCTCTGTTGAAGCCCTGTCATCCTTCAGAGGTGTTGCCGAACAAAGGAGGCCCCTACCCTCCAGCCCTGGCCTCCCTGAACACCTGGCTCTGTCTAGCCTTATTTCCCTCCCTCATTGGTCCCTGGGTCCAGCCAGATACCCTCATTTTGCAACCTCAGCAGAGATGTGGTAATTATGGTACGGTGAAAATATCTTAACAAGCATGGGGTTGGGTTTACACTACTGTTTTAGAAGAGTTAGGGGCCAAAGTTTGGCAGAAACTTCATTCTCCTTATGGGTTCCAAAGTTAGCAAAGAGGCTCTCACTATAAGTGAGGGAGGAGAGTCAGGAACCCGCCACACCAGTCAGAAGTGGTTTCATTTTTTATTTTGAGACTAGGGTCTTGCTGTGTTGCCCAGGCTGGTCTTGAACTCCTGGGTTCAAGCAATCCTCCTGCCACAGCCTCCCAAGTAGCTGGGAATATAGGCACATGCCACTGCACCCAGCTCGAGTGGTTTTCATCATTTCCTATAATTTTTGCCCAAAATTCCTCATTCATCAGGTGATTCCACACATCATTGACACTGTGGCTTCTGGTTATGACTTTTTCATTCTCATTGGGGTGCTGAAGGTGGGGGCTGTTATTCTCCCAACAAGAATATAATGCAGCAAGCAGCACAGGGAGGCCAGGGCTAGAAGTGGGGGGCCCCGGGAAAGAGGCTCTCAGGAAGCTGAGGCGGGCACATGTGATGGGAAGTCGGTGGGAGTGAAGCATGGGGTCTGGTGGGGAGCCCCCTCTCCGTCGTGGACCCTGTCAGAAGGCTGAGCACACAGGCTCCCTGCACCGGAGGAGGAGCTGACAGTGTTTGGCCCCCAGTAAAGCTCTGTGGGGCACAGCCCGGGTAATCATCCTGGAGACATTCTGCCTCCCTTTCACAACCAGAATCAAGGACACTGACTTTCTGTCACAACTCCTTTTTCATTGGGGTGCTAAAGGCAGGGAACCATTGTTCTTAGGAGATAGTGTCATTCAGTGAAAAGCACACGTCCCAGGAAGCTGAGGCAGGGAACTGACAGCCTCTGTGATTTGTTCTGTTCCTTGTCATGATGCATACAGCGACCTCCTGGGAACTGCAGGCTATGCTGTGCCCTTTGTCCCAGCGCTGACACCTAGAATAAACAAAGTATAGCCCCGTGGCAGAAGCCCCTGCCCACTTCTGCAGGGTTGTCCAATGGGGCCCTTGCATGTGTTGGTAAGGAATGCAGAAGCACCAGCTGACAAAGTTACATAAATGCTGGGTCCTGGCAGCAAGCAGGGCTCCAGGACCCCGTCAGCAAACACCCTGATGATGGTCTCACAACACAAAATTACAACCACTAAGGCAGATTATGATTAGGCAGAGAATTCGTCTCAGGGAGGGAACTGTCTGAGAAGACACCTCTGGCTGCTTGGAAGGATGGTAGGTGTGAGGTGTGGCTAGGCAGGAGAAAGGGCAGTGAGAGCACGAAACACCTCAAAGAAAGGGAATGGTTGGGTGGGGTTGAGAAAAACTCAGATTTTGGGGGACAGTGAGTGGAGTTTGGGCTGATTGCTGGGTCAGAAGTGGCACTAGAGCTGGGTGCCTAAAGGTGCTGGCGCCATGTCTGTGGAACATGCCATGGACTACAAGCTGCTTGTGCATAAGGCCACCCCAGGGTGATAGATGGTGTAAAGATCATCCATTTGCTCAGTCCCCAAAAGATACAGACTGAGGTTCCAAGTAAATGAGGACAAGCCTGTTGTTTGGTTTTATGGAAGAATAACACTATGGAAAGTACAGTATTCAAAGAGGATGGCTTAGTGAATTACAACAGTGAAATGCTAACACAACCAGCACCCAGGTGAAGAAATAGAATGTCACCAGTCCTCAAAACCCATTTAATCACT